CATACAGCTTATTTTGAACTTTGCTTCCTTAACGGATCTTGGAGAATTTTCCAAAGCAATACATAATAAGCTCTCCCTTTCTTCTCTCTTTCTCTTTTTTTTTATAGTATGAGATCTATCTCTTAATAAATTTTTAAATGCTTATGATAGTACTGTAACTCCGTGTTAGCCTTCAGATCTTTAGAGCTTGTTCATCCTGTGTGACTGGAACTTTCTACCTACCCTCCTTCCTCTCACCCTCCTTCCATGAGTTAGATATTTCATTCACCATTCTACTGTTTCTACAAATTTGACCATGTTAGATGCTTCATATAAGTGCAGCTGTGCAGTATTTGATCTTCTGTGACTGGTTTACTTCCTTTGGTGTGGTGTCCTCCAGAACCATTCATGGGGTCACCTAAGGCAAGATTGCCAAGCTCCCTCTTTCTTAAAGAGGATCTTGAATCTTCTATACACAAGAAGACTGAGGCTTAAAGTGACTTGCCCTGGAACACACACCCAGGGGAAGAACTGTAACAGCATAATCCCCATAGAAAGGGGAGGTGACAGCATTGTGCCCAAGCAGGTTCACAGAACCAGGATTGGAACCCAGAGCTCTCAAATACGCTCTTCTATACCAACCACTTAAAAGACATTATAGGCAGCGATGGAATCTGTCCTTGGACCTCTTCTTACCAAAACCCACTGCCTTCTATGCCTCTCCTACTTCCTCTGTCCTCTCTTCCCCCTAGCCCCCACACCTTGCCATCTCACCTGCATTCAGCACAGACACATAGAGAACCAGGGACACCCAGCTGGTCCGTCTTTTCATCACCTCCAACTACCTGAAGACTGTCTGTACTGTAGGGACATTGCCTCTGGCTTTATAATCTCCAATTCCTGCCCCTCCCCCGCAGCTCAGGGATTTGTTCCATAGTATTTTTCTCCCATGCCCTAAATCTGAGAGTGCATAAAAAATGAACAATGTGGATCTCAGAATGTTCTATAGCTGCCTTTTGCAAATGTGGTATCTGATTCTGTTTGACCCTCCTCAATGAAAATTTTTTTAACTTCATTTTCTTTTAATTTTATTATTATTATTTTTTATGTTATAGAAGAATGGGGTGGGGGACATTGAAAGGATTCACCAGAGACAGAGTGGGGAGCAGAACAGGCGGATTTACTGAAATACACTGCTAAGGGGAGCAGCAGGCGAGACAGGAGCAGTCTGTTGCAGCACGAGTGGGTTAGCAGCCTGGCCTAGGATTGAATTCAGGCTTTAGCAGTGATAGCATTGAGACTTAACCCCTAGGCCACCAGGGAGATCTATCAATTTTAAAAATTTTAAATCTTTTTTTTTTAAATGCAAAATCTTGGGCTCCACAGCCAAACTGCTGAAGCCCTGGGGGTGGGATGAGCTCCCCACCCTCCCCACCTTTGCTAAAGTTCGAGTGCCCCTGCTCGATATCTTGCCAATTACTTTCATAGCCATTTGATATCATTTACTCCCATGATTATTATTGTTTTTAAATGAAATCCCAGCCAAAAAGAGGACTCCAGTTTGGTTTTCCTGCAGAAGTGAGCCCTGGGAGATCATGCACAGAGCCCATGGCCAGCCGGTACCTGGAAAGGACAGATCTTAGTCACATATCCCAGGTTTGGGTTTGGTCCCATTTGGAATTCCCTTCTTCAGCATCCAGGGATCTGGAGAGAGAAGGAGAGGCAAGAGCACTTCATGAGAGAGAGAAGAAAAAGGTGGGTATCCTGGATGTAGCTGGCCTGATGCCCCCCATCTCCAGGGTAATCCAAGGTGACGTCAGGACAGAGTTTAACACTCATCCCTCAGCATCTGTCTGTGCTTAGATCCTTCCAGACATTACATCCTCTGGTTCTCCATCTGCCAGCATATGGGGACCAGAAACTGGCTAGAAACACATTTTCCTTTGTCTCAGAGTGATGAGAAAATGAATGCTAGACAAATGGAGAAACTGATAAGGGCAGGGAGCCAGAAGCCCAGTGGCTCCTGCCTGACATGGGATTCCTTGCTTTGCACGTTTTTGCTGGGCACGTGTATCTATACACCACCTTCCAGCTCCCTGCAGGTAACGAGGTCCACTATTAACCATGAGGAAGCAGTAGCTTAGGGCTTCATCCTCACCAGCTGAGCAAAGTCTCAAGCAACCACCACATGTGGGACCACCCATCCCTGCTTCGACCTCTGGGGAAACTGAGGCTCTAAGAAGTCAAAGCATCTGTCCGGGTTACATGGGTCCTGTGGAAGTGGAAGAGCATAGAAGCAATTCAGGCATCTTGACTTCGACATCTTGTTCTTACCCTTGGTTAGCAAGGTCTTAGAGGTGAAGAGGCTCCATGAAAAGCCTGGCCCCTCCAAGTCACAGGTTCAGATCTTACTCCATCCATCCTAAAGGCAGAACTTTGTCTCTGCTGCTGGTTACCTCCAAGGCTTCGGGCGTTGGCCCTGCTTTCTTAGCCTGCGTGCCAGTAATCTGAATTTTTTTTAAAAAGATTAATTTATTTATGCATACAAGAACCGGGGTACAGGCTAGTGGTGTGGGGGGGATGAGAGGATTCACCAGAGACAGAGTGGGGAGCAGAACAGACAGATTGACTGAAGTACACTGCTGAGGGGAGCTGCGGGAGAGACAGGAGAGGTCTGCTGCACCATGTGGGTTGCTCCCTCGCTGGGGGATCGAACTCATGCTGCAGTGGCTACAGATAGCTTCATAGGTTGCGTCTTAACTTCTTGCACCACCAGGGAGGCACTGCTCATCTTTTATTTTATTGGCTGCTATCTGTGGCAGATATTTGCTTTCATGTTCATTATTAGGTAATATTTGTGCATCTTTGATTTTAACTGTCTTTTTTTTTTTTTTTGTGAGTACTTTTTCATGCTCTTAATTCTATTTCTAACTTCTCCCAAAGATAATGGGAAGTGATATCCCTGACTGGTCATGAGTTTGTAGAGGTGGTAATAAATACGTGGAGTGGGTGAGATCAGTTCTAGAAATACACTCACCCTGCAAGCTTGGCCATGGACACTCTGAACAGACTCAGAACCCGACGCTCTGCAAACATCACAGAGAACCCATTATTCTTTTCTTGCTCAAGTTAATAGTCCTTGTGCCCCAAGGTACACCATCAACTGTGATGAAATATTTTTCAGAACAAATCTTGGTATTTTGCTTGCTCTACTGGGAGGTTAAGATGAAGATGAAAGAAAAATCACACCAAGGTCATAAACAGACCAGGTGGCCAAGCTGGACTTGGTTCGCCAGCTGTCCCATAAAGCCTGCAAATCGCAGGGAAATAGAAAGATGTTAACCAATGATACTAGCAGAGAGGAGAGCATGTGGGGTCCAGTTTTAGCTTGTGCCAAAATGAAGAGAGAGAGAGCCCTGGGTTTGGATTCAGAAATTCTACTTGCAATGTCGGTTCTAGAACCTGTGGAAAATATATGAGGGTTGATACGAAACAGGCTCACTTTTCAAATCTCAGGTTTTCCAGTTGTTAGCTGGGGACACGATAACTAAGTAACTTAACTACTTCTTTATGGGACTTGTTTAAGATCAGTGTTTCATAGTTGGACAAAACAGCCTTCACTAGAATTTGTTGGTTTTTAAGAGTTGAGTAACTGAAGTCTTCTAAATGAGATAATCCCACCCTTACTTGGCTAACCAAAAGGTATTCATTTATCCTGAAAAAAAAAAAAAAGATGGTAGTTTAGTGCTAACTGGATAAGTTAACACATTTCATTAGTTTTAAACTCTTCATTATATTCTTGTTTGCGATAGTTAACATCTGTAATTATTGTTCAAATGAACAAAACAGATTTTTGATTTCTCAATAGGTAAACTCTAAGCACCCAATTCAGTGTCAAGTATTTCTGTCATTGCCTGAGTTAAGATAAAAATGACCCAAAAGTCATGAATAGCAACAAGTCAAAGTAAATTGGATCAAGTGAGGATTCATGTACTTAAGCAATCTTTACACTAAAAGAAGAGTCAAACAATGGTAGAGAAGAGGCGTACAGAAGTAGAGAAGTTAAATAAAATGCCCTCTGTACTAACAATATGTGTTTATGAGAAATAAGTATTTCTAGTTTTGAAGAGCTGAGAGCCAATTTAAGGTATTTGACAGCAGTACCTAAAAGGTCCAGTTAATCTCTTAGATTTGTTTCTCCTTTTGGTTATTCTGAATAATGCTAAAAAGGACACAGGCACAAAAGTATTTGCTCATGTCCCTGCTTCCAATTCATTCGGGTATATGCCCAGGAATGGAATTTCTGGATTTCTGTTTAGCTTTTTTATCTTATTACCTTTTTTTATATTTTTAAGAGTCTTGTCATCCTGCAAGTCTTTGAAAATTGGTTAATCCACCTGATTTGCATTTTCTGAGAATAGTGACAATCATATTTACCTATCAGTGTAAAAATATTCTTTATTAAGGTAATGCATTTTTAATAGACTATACTTTTAGAGCAGTTTGAAATTCACAGCAGAATTGAGCAGAAGGACATAGATTTCCCATGGACCCATTGGTCCCCTGATGCAAGCCTCCCCCACTCTTAGTGTTCCCCAGCAGAGTAGTTAAATTTGTGACAGTTGATGAACCTACAGTGACATCATTATCACCCAAGGTTTATGACTTTTTTTTTTAAAGATTTATTTATTTATGCATACAAGAGCTGGGGCATATGCCAGAGATGTGGGGGGTGAGGGGATCCACCAGAGACAGAGGGAGGAACAGAACAGGCAGATTGACTGAAATATACTGCTGAGGGGAGCCGCAGGTGAGACAGGAGAGGTTTTTCTCGCCATGTGGGTTTTTCCCTGGCTGGCTGGGGATTGAACTCATGCTGCAGAGGCTGCAGATTGCTTCACAGTGTGGTGCTTAACCCCTTGCACCACCAGGGAGGCCCTCCATGAGGTTTTTTTTAAGGGGCTCTTTTCATACAGCAGCATGTAAAAGTGCTAAGTCTAGAAAGTAGGTTCCCATATCAAAATTCCATAGCCCATAATGAAAACCCCAAGTTATTAATATCCAGGTTACCTTCAACTCATGTGTCAGGGGGTGGGGGAAACCACCTTTCAATCAAGGGGCCGTCTCCCCCTCTTCCAACAAAGAGAGTAGATTCTTTCCTAGGAGAATAATTAGATTCCTCATCCCCTTGCCCTGTAGATCTCAGCATCAATCACAGTATTTCCAGATATTGTTCTTGTTATAATTCTGGGTCAGGGAACACCATTTTTTCCCAAATGAATCCCCATCTTCCGTGCATTCCCAGTAGATCAGGCGTTTGTACCAGAAGGGAAACACACATTTTGCAAAGTCTACAGAGAAGAAAGAAGCAACCAGAATAAGAAATCTTTTCATTTTGCACCTCCTGTTTTCCATCACACACACACACACACACACACACACCTCAAAAGCATATGGGAAAGTATTAGGTGTTGGGTGGTCTATGGAGGATTCTACATCATCTATCTTTGGGGCAATGTGATTTTCAGTCAGAGAATTATGCAAACCTTGTCACTATTTTGTGGACCGTGGTTTCCCTTTCCAGAATCCCCTGGTCCAGCTCCCTGAACCTCAGGCAACCAAGATCACCACCTTGGAGTGTTCAGAGGTCACACACTCACCTTCTTCTGAGCAATACTTCCAATATCCTTGGTAGGTCTTGTTTAAGGAACACCAGCTGTGTTTTGTCTCCGACTTGATGCAGTCATAGAAGGTTCTTTTTCTATAGTGGAATGGAAAGGAACAGTTGCCATCTGGAGAAAGCAAACAGCAAAAAGAATCATGGGTCTTTGCCAGTGTAAGTGGAGAGGTCACTCTCCCCCCTGCTCCACCATGGGGTCTGAGCCACTGCAGGAGATTTTCCCTCAGGGTGCTCAGTCATTCTATGGCACGGCTGTGGGGCACCTATTAATGACTGTGATTGATTTTATCCTGCACTGCTGCTCCTCTCTTTTCCATGGCATTAGTGGTCTTGAAATTTTGTTTTGCATTTAATCCTAGTTCTAGGAATCTACCCCAAATTTAGGAACATAAATGCAGACATTGATGTGCTAAACCACTTCCCACCATGAACTGTGTTTCTTCACCCTCTTTCACCATCAAACACAGACATAGGCACAGATAGTGTGTATAAATAGCTTAGTTTGTATCTATCCACACTTTTCTCCATACCCATATAGATCTCTCTCTCTTTGCCTCTGTCTTTCCGAGACATAGAGAGAGACAGATATAGAGATCAAGATAGATGGATGATGGACAGACAAACAGATAGATAAATCTATGTCTGTATATATGGATAGATGGATATAAATCAATTGGTACAACATATATATATATCTCCATAAAACATATTAAAGTAACCATACACATATATAATAAATATACATATATACATATATAATAAATATATATATATATCCCCCAGGGGGGAAGCACACACATACACACATTTTTGTTCCCTCCTCAAATGAACCATATTTTACATCCATAACATGAACTCCTAACTTAACACATCCTACAAATCCTTTCAAATTTACCCTTTTCAGTCCTGTCACTCTATCTCCTTTCTAATTTCAATTCATATTCTGTGATATGTATTTGGACACCATTTATTCAATATTTTCCACATTCAGATGTTTTCCCCCCCTCAATAAATAAAGCCACAGCAACATTCCAAGCAGGCAAATCCTTCGAGAAGCATTTGTTTCTATGAGCAAGACTATCAGGTGGAAACCTACATAAACGTTTTATATCAATGCGATTGGCTTAAAAGGAAAATAGTCATTCACATTTTTCCACCATTGTGCTCTTTTTTCCTGAATTTTCACCAGTGGGAAGCATGTATACACTTTTTTATTTTTTTTATTTTTTGGGATTCCACCCTTTTATTTTTTTAATATTTTATTTTATATAATTCTTACATCATTTTTCATCTTTGTACAATGTATGCATTTTCATTTTGGTTATACTCCTCATGCAGTTGCATCCCCCCCCTTATTTTGACTCTAGTTCTTCCTTTTAAATGCTAACCTTTAAAACAGTTGGTTGTCTGATTTTAAAAGATCTTTTGGTCTTGAGGACATGCCTATATTTTTCTCCACTTTTCTTCTTAAGTAATTTTGCTTCTGGTACATTTCATTTTTATTTAATGGAAATTTAGTTTTGTGTATGATGCTAGAGGGGGATTGGGCTGCAACTTTATTTTCTTCCAAGTAGTTATTTGATAAGGACAACTTGATGATACAATAAAATAACTTGTACATTTAAACATCAACCACTATTTAAACATGTATACGGTTATTATATATTAGATTCTACAATGTCCTGGGCTTTTTTCTATACTTTTAGTCAAGTTTCTTGAAATGATTAGAGAGCTAAGATAGCATAGTGGGAAAATGAGCAGAATTTGGAGGCAGCAAGCTTCAGGTAATATTATTTTTTGACTCTAGGCTGACATGTTATTTATATCACTATCTTAGGGCTTGTTTAAATGTTTGATTATACGAGGTGTTTATCTACCTGACATGATTTTTTGTTCATAAAATTTCTAATTACTGTAGGAAATTTTTTCTATGTGAATTTGAAAATTATGCATTCTTTATTAGATTGGCAGAAATTAAAGAATAGAAACCTTTAAGTGTCAGTGAAAGTTCAGGATGACTTTTATTTCTGATCTTTCTTCATGTTTACAAGGTACTTATATCAAATTTGATGAAGAGAGAAAAGAGAAAAAAATTTTTACCAGGAACAAAAGCCCTACTGATTTCCCCATTGTTATAAAAGAAAATACACTTTAATAATAAAAGTTTTCTGAATGAAAAGAAAAACTTTGTGATCAACTTACCTTTGACTTCTGCAAAATAAGTGACAGCTCCTGAAAAATAAAATTTGAAGGTGATGTTTATTTCACTGCTCTTGTGCCTTCCAAATAAGAACATGACATGATTTTCTATTGCTTAAAAGGTGCTTTATTTTCTTTAATGAGGTTTCAATATTTACACTGGAACCTTGAACCATATGAGGGTTAGGAGCACTGAGCACTGTGCAATTAAAAATCCCTACAGAATTATCTCTCTGTGGGTGCCTGTTCCATAGCCCCTGATTCAACCATCCAACATCCTTTCCCCAGTTGGTTGAATCCGTGAATACAGAACTTCAAAAACCCATGTTGTTTCAAGGGTACATTAAGTCCTGCACATTTCTTGCTGATTTAACTTCAGTGTGTTTTTTATTGATGTGAAACAGAGTAAATTCCTTTTCCATCAATGTCTAGTTGGTTCTTACCCATATAGAGAAAAACTATTGACTATTTCCATCTTACATATCCATTCATATAGATTCTCCCATTAAAACCAGGGATTTTGACTAAATTTCCTAGGAGTTTTAAAGTATACAGTCATAAAATTATTTGCTTGCTATTTTCTGCAGGTTTATGAATTATTTCCTCTTTTTCAATATCATATAACTTAGAATATCCTCCCCTACTCCTCAGTGTTAACTAATACTCATCACAATAAACACTTCTGTACTTTCTTCGTTTTAGTTGGAATAACATTCAGGTTAAAAATGTTCATTTCTGCATGGCCAAAAATAGTAAAAAAAAAAGTAGAAATCAATGCAAAAACATCTACTTCTAAGGGAATTTTAAAATAAAACACAATTTTATAACATAGGTATCAACGAATATGAATATACAAATAAATATGGAAAAATATGTATTTTATTTTTAGGTGACAAAGGCATTGTCTATTTCATTATGTCTATAAGATTCTATTCTTTGGGGAAAAAAAGAAAGTCATATTATGAAGTTTTATGTAATAAATTATTTGATCACTCAAAAATTTAACAGTAAAATTATGTTTGTCCACTTCTTTTTTCCTTAACTATTTTTATCTTGGAACATGTTTTTATCTGACATGCAAGAATATAAAATAGTATTTTTTCATGAAAATATTTCCATCAAGGAAAAGGAATACAGTATTCAACAACTCCACATTGCCACAACATTTAAAAGAAACTCAAATAAAAGAATTTTGATAAACTCACATACAGATGGATAGTCTCCAGAAAGACAAAATTTTCAACAAATATTTATTTCACTATATTTACCCTCAAATAAAATAAAAATAAAATATTTTACCAAATTCTATCTCAGTAGTAATAACAATATTTTGAAGATGAAGCATCAAAATTTCAAAAGTAGTTTTCTTTTTTCTTTTTTTTTTTTTAAATACTCTTTTTTTTTTTTTATTTGTTTGTTTTGTTTATACATGCACTGGGTACAGTCAGAAGCGCGGGAGGGTGAGAGAATTCACCAGAGCCAGAGCGGGGAGCAGAACAGGCAGAAGGACCGAAGTACACTGCTGAGGGGAGCAGCGGGCGGCAGGAGAGGTCTGCGCGCCATGTGGGAGCCTCCTCTGGTGGCCGGGGAGCAGCCGGGGATCGAACCGACGCCGCAGAGGCCGCGGGCAGCTTCGCAACCCAGCGCTCAACCGCTGTGCCACCGGGGAGGCCCTCAAAAGTAGTTTTCAATAGTTTTAATAGTTTCTTTCTGGTAGTGTGATTGTGGGTGATTTCTAATTTTTCTTTTTGTTTTATTTGTATTTCCAAATATAGTTAAGGAAAAATTAGTATTAGTTTTAAAATAAAAATATTCAGGAGACAAAAGTAGTTGATTTACTTTCCACAAAATAAACCATGCTATAATAGGAAAACAGGGTATGTGTGTGTGTGTGTATTATCAACTCATCATTTTCTGTTTTGTTTTATTTTATTCTATTTGTTTTTAGTACTGTCTTAGAGGTACAATTGGAAGCAAACATTTACTTAAACGTCCTTTGCTTTTTGAATGAGATCAAATTAGTTTTAGCATCTGTTGAAGAAAGGTCTTTGCCATTTAACTTTATAGGTTTGTTGTGAGAATTAAATGAAAACTTATGTCAGAGCTCAGCACACAGCAAGCCCTTAACATATGGTAACAATTTTATTGCAATGATAAAGATTTCTCTTCTTACAATAATCATAATTATTTTCTCCTCTTCCAGGTAGGAGAAGACCAATTCAAGTTGGCAATAGATTTTCACAAACCACAGAGAACTTATATCCACTAGAATTTGCTCCAGAAATCAAGTTGAACAGTACTTAGCAAATATTGAGGATACAAAATTCTCAAAGAAAGAATTATGGCATTTCATAGTAAATGGACTGTCCATTGTTCACAGATCTTCAACTGCTCTTTTCTAAGATCAGAACACAGGCATTTGGGTGTGCATTTGTGTGAAGTTTGAACACGCAATCTGTAAAAAAAAAAAAATGAAACTATTTCTGCCCCTGAAAGTAGAAAATGTTACATCAAATTGGCAATGAAAGAGTCATTTACTAGTAGGAAATATTCCAGTAGAAGGACACATTCACAATATAAATTGAGAGTACAGAGCTGTTGCTAAAGAAATATGTTTTCTCAGACTCTTCAGTTCAAATCCCAGTGGTCATGAGCTAGCTATGTGACTCTGGACACAGGGGTCAGTTTGTGCCTCAGATTCTCTTCTATAAAGTGATGGCAATAATTATACCTTCCTCATGAGATTGATGAGAATATTGGTGTGCGTTAGATGAGAATTTGCAATGGTGTGTGTTAGGTGGGAATTTGCAAGTTTGGTGGGTCTTCAAATAATTAAAACAACAACTATAATATGTTCCAGTCATGCCACTTTCTGGGGATTTATCCAAAAATCATTGAAATCCAGATTTCAAAGAAATATCTGTACTCCTGTTTTCAGAGCATTAATAGCAAAAGCCAAGGCAGCAAACAACCTAAATATTTACCTGTGGATGAATGGAGAAAGAAAATGTATATGGTATCTACATACAATGGAAACTATTCAGTCTTCAAAGAGAAGGTGATGACATGGATGCAAATGGAGGGCTTTATGGTAAGTGAAATGAGACAGACATAGCAGAAGGAAGTGGGGTGGAGAAGGCAGGGAGTCTTCAGCCTTTGGCGAGGGGGGGTGTTAGGGGGAAAAGGATGTCCCAAAGCTAATTCCAGGGTGAGGACCCACAGCCAGGAACCCGTTTAATATCGGGGTTGCTCTATAACAGGGGCACACAGGATTTCTGGGCTATCATCCCCTCTGGATCCCCCAAAATATAAATGGCGCTTGTAACGCAAGTTTTGCAGTCACCGAAACTCAATGATAAGAATCACATGGAAAAATATGACAGTGATCATTCAGGATCCCACACAGTGAGGGTGGAGATATTCTAGTACCGTCTAAAGAACTTCTTTCACTTACATTTTCTTTTTTATGTACGTACAAATGCAGTAACTCGTTAAAAAACTATGTCCAAGTCAAAAGTGTTATTTTTCACTAAGGATAAAATAAAAATTCTCACTGATAAGGAATCCGTGTTCGTAGTTACATCAAGAATATTTTTCTTAAAGCGTTGATATAGACTGTGTTTGATTAGCAGGTTAATTTTGCAAAGATGACTGAAATAATACATAGCAGGATACTACTTGAGAAACGATTGCTCTCAACCATTCCTTAAAACATTGTTTTTCACAGCTAGGTGGGTAATAGCACATTAAGAGATGCATTCATAATGAAATGTCACCTTATAGTTGGTAAAGGTAATATACGTTTGGCGAAAGAAGAAAAGAGGCTTCTCCAAAATTTGTGTTATTTTAAAAACCTCTCCCTCAGGCTCTTAAAATACAGCCTGATTATCCAAAAATATGTCTTCTGTTCATAGAACGTTCCAACTCCCAGTCCAATTCTTTAATGCATATGAGTTGAACTGATTGGTTTTTAAAGCCTTTCAGTGAATCCTGTCTATGAAATGGAATTACCTGAAAAGTACAGAGTGCATATTTTTCTTTCTTAGGATGCCTGAAAGAGGACACTCACCCTCCAAGTCACCTCAGATTTGATGACATAGGCAGCAAAAGTTTGAGACCGAATTTTTGAATGTCTAAGCCCACAGACACTGTCCCACTGCCCCTCACCTTTAGATTGGTGACCTGCCACATGGGGAAGCCAGCAGACACAGACCAACAGAAGCCCTGTGGGAAGGAACATGTTCTTCTTCCAGGGACTGGTGATCTAACACCTCATCCTCAGGACTTCACAGCCTCAGCGGCTCTCTCCTCCTGGACTCCTCCTCTCTCTCCCCTCCTGCCTCCTGCTTTCATTTCCTCCTTCCTCTGCCCCCTCTCCCCATCCTTTTCTCCATTGTCTCCAGTCTCCTCCTCTTCCCCTTAAGCCTTCCTTTTCAGTCCTTTTATTTTCTTGCTGTTCATTTACAAAGCTGTATAATGTGGAGGCACAATGGCACACTCACATGTGCTCATATTTCATGGTCTCTACTCCTCTACCCTTTTCCCTGCCTCCCCTCCCCTCCCCTAGGACTGTATTTTTTCTTTTTTTTTTTTTTTTTGCATTTTGTCTGATTGTCTTCTTTGATTCTTTATAGTCCACCAATGAGTGAAATCATCAGTAATTGTCTTTCACTTTCTGGCTTATTTCACTCAGCACCATCTCCTCAAAATTTATCCATGTTGTCCAGAAAGACACCATTTTATCTTTTTTAATAGCTGAGTAATATTCCCACACCACAATTTCTTTTTTTTTTCCCTTCAAGATTTACTTATTTATGCATACAAGAGCTGGGGTACAGGTCAGAGATGCAGGGGATGAGAGGATTCACCAGAGACAGAGTGGGGAAGAGAATAGGCAGATTGACTGAAACACACTGCTGAGGGGAGCAGTGGGAGAGTCAGGAGAGGTCTGCTGCACCATGTGGGTTGCTCCCTGGCTGGCCAGGGATCGAACTCATGCTTCAGAGGCTGTGGATTGCTTCATAGTGCGGTGC